CTTGTTATTTAATTATAAAGGAAGGTTGTTGTTGTGGATCTGTTTGATCTCTCGATGTTGTTCTTCTGTACATCCTTGTCATGTTGCCCGGCCGGTCAAACCAAAGTAGTCAATCGACCGGAACGGGGCGGAACCAAAGTGTTGTGCCAACTGGGCCAGGGCCGCCGTCGATGCACAAGCGATGTTGACTGGGTCAAGGAGGTCGGTTGTGGCACAAGTGACGTCAATCTGCTCGAGACAGCCGATTGAGGCACAAAGGGGCGGTGACGGGCCAGGATGATGGATTGAGGCTAAAAGTGGCACTGACGGGCTGGGGCGGTTGGTCAAGTCATAGGTGATGCCCATCGGCCCGGGACGGCCTATCGGGGCAAAAAGTGGCCTTGACAGGCCGGGGCGACCAGTAGGGGCGCAAGTGATGTTGGTCGGTCTGGGACGGCTGATTGGGGCAAGAAGTGGAACCAATAGGATGGAGCGGCTGGTCGAGGCACAAGTAATGCCAATCGGCCCGAATGTTGTCGATCGAGGCAAAAAAGTCTTGATGATCGACCCGAGACAGCCGACCGAGGAAACATGCAAATGTGAGATGTATCATGCAAGAAATACACATGCAAGTGTCTATTCAAATCATATAGTCACACTCGATATCAATTCATGCACGTACTATTGACCTCACTTAGGAAACCTAAAGTTTAACGTCTGGATGTGCGGCATAGCCGCCTCCTGCTTTGACAAGGCATGTGGGAGTTTCTCTCCCGGATTTCCGAGAGAGAAACTCTCCATGATGTTGTGAAATAGGATAGCTACAAAACTTTTCCCATTTCACAACTCCACAGGACTTTGCAAAGCGAACTAGCAGCAAAACTTTTCTCACTTTGTAAAACCTAAATATCCCAATTTCTCCAAGGAAATTTGAAGAAACCAAAGCAAGAGGAGAAATGGACTCCAACCCATGGGCATTTTGGCTTAAGGTTTGCAAAAAGAAAACACTCGGATCCGTATAGGAATTGCCACACATGAGACTCCTATTCTAGGGCTAGCTCTAGGAAATCAATGGTTCATCACACAAACGGAGTGGTCACGCTGACTGACGTCAACAGGGGAACTCTCCCCACGTGTGCGACCGAACCCACATGCCTAGACTCAACTAACCCTAAGACCAGTTAGTAGTTTCGGAGCTCTCACCACCGCAAAGTTGTGGACGTCCCCGCCACTTGCTCCAAGCCGAAAGAAACATACGGAGATTGGCAGCTTGAAACGAGAACATCGACAATGAAGAGAAGGGAGCGTGCAACTAGAGTTTTTTTTCCCTAAACACATAGGTGACAACCAAAGGGAAGGGGCAAGGGGCATCTGCAGGGACTTAGGTCAGGATTTCACGAATTGAAGTGGGCACGGATGACATTTACCACTTAGATCGGAGCTCTTGCGGTGGAACGCACTCGCCCTCCTCCGTTTCAACTTTCGCCGTTCCACAGTCGACCGTCCGCGAAACCGTGGTGAAAATCAGGCTCTCGAACGCCACGGTCACCATTTCGGGGACGACAAGTCAAAGAAATGGAGCGCCAAACAGGGCCACAGAAAGCTCTATGCCTCGTCCAAAGTTTCCAACCCAAGAGTTCTAGGTTAATGACAGAGTCACATTTTCTTTATATTTAATGAGTATTGTGTTCCTTTCAATTTGTTGATTTTGACAAGCGAAGTAATCTTCGAAGGAAATTAGTATCTAGAAATCTTAAAATATAGCAAGAAGGAATAGTTTTTACTAACCAATATAATACAAAAAAGGGAGGATTTATATTCGTACCACACAATTCTTATGTATTTACATATCTAAACACCAAATTTTCGACTTTTACATGCATATTATCTTACCCATGCCGAGAAGGTATATATATTTCATTTTTTCAAATTAAAATAGTGATATTTTTCAGTGATATAAATGATTTGCTTGGTGTAAATGTAAAATATAAAATTTAGATGTTAGATGTATATAAATATATAGAAACTGGGTGGTATGTATGTAAATGCTCCTAGAAAAAAATAGTGAAACCAAAATTAAGTAAAAATAAATAATCAATTAATACTTATCATACACTTGACACTTCTCTCCAAATAAATCTAAGAATTTATTACGCTTCAAAACAAAATTCTAATTAGAATATTTGTGCCCATTTTTGGTATTTTATTTATTTTCATTTGTGCTAACAATTAAGAAAAAGAGAAAAATAAAAACAATTTTTATTTTTTCTAGT